GGGGACTGGCCCTGTGAATGAACAGAGACCCTGTGCCCCTGCCTGGGCGGCAGCTGGGAAGGGCTCTGCTGACCTAACCCCAGGTGAACTCCATGATCCTAACCCCAGGTGAACTCCATGATCCTAACCTCAGGTGAACTCCATGGAGTTTGGAAATTCCACCATCCCATGACAGCCTATCCTGGCAGCCCAGAAAGCTGAACGTATCCTGGGCTGCATCTCCAGCAGTGTGGGCAGCAGGTGAAGGGAGGGGATTCTGCCCCTCTGCTCCACTATGTTGAGACCCCACCCGGAGCACTGCGTCAAGCCCTGGACCCCAACATAAGAACAATGTGGACGTGCTGGAGTGGGTCCAGAGAAGGTCACAGAGGTCCACGAAGGAACAGAGTGCCTCAGCTATGGAGGCAGACTGGAAGAATTGGGGTTCTTCAGCCTGGAGAAGACGGCTCCAGGGAGACCTTAGAGCACCTTCCAGTGCCTAAAGGGACTACAGGAGAGCTGGAGAGGGACTTGAGACAAGGGCATGGACTGACAGAAGAAGGGTAGAATGGCTTCAAACTGACAGAGGGCAGGGTTAGAATAGAGATTAGGAAGAGATCCTCCCCCGTGAGAGTGGTGAGGCCCTGGCACAGGTTACCCAGAGAAGCTGTGGCTGCCCCATCCCTGGAAGTGTTCAAGGCCAGGTTGGATGGAGCTTGGAGCAACCTGGGATAGTGGAAGGTGTCTCTGCCCATGACAGGGGGACTGGAACAAGATGAACTTTAAGATCCTGTCCCACCCAAACCATTCTGTGATTTTGTGATAAGGACCCAGGCTGGCATGGGCTCATTTTGGCACCAGAGCTGCAATTCCCACATGCCTTTTGTAGCCTATTTCTACCAACATTTGCTTCACTGCTCTGATATTCCTGTGGGTCCACAATTCCCATTTGTTCCTATCATAGTGGATGTCTGGGCTGAGTTTCATCATTCCTCTCAACAGGAATGGTCTTCCAGCTCCTTCCTTCACATTAGATTAAAAAAAAAAAAAAGGTAGCAGAGCCTTTACAGACAAGTTGGCCTGTGAGGACCCTTCCAACCATAACCACTTTACTATGATTCCATGACCAAGTGAGAACTCACCCCATGCACCGGACTAAGGACATTTTTAAACCAGAACTTAGACCACGTGCTGTCCAACATCCATAGCCAAGGACACTGGCTCCAGGTGCCATGCTCCCAGGCCATGTCGTGGCACCGTACCAGGTGCAACCCTATCTCCCAAGGCTGCGGTGGCAAGGCCAGCAGCTGAGGGGACGTGCCCAGGGTGGGTATAAGAGGCACCGAGTGCCAGGCAGGGTCCATCCCGACAAGTGACAATGGCTCTGCTGTGGCTGCTGAGCTGCCTGGCTCTGGTGGGCTTTGCCCGTGCCGCCCTCCCTGAGGGTG